TTACAACCTAATTCATAACCTAATTATAAACCCTTTATGAATCCTTTATAAGGGTAGTCTTATTGTAAAGTGGTACCATTAATTTCATACAAAGTGGGAAAATATAATCCATTGCAGTGGGGCACAAGAGGTGTGCTGGACTATTCCCTGACCGGGTCAAACTATTCCTCTATTGCCTCACAGCTCTCAATGAGCGCATGCATTTGTGTGTATGTGTGTGTGTGTGTGTGTGTGTGTGTGTGTGTGTGTGTGTGTGTGTGTGTGTGTCTGTCTGTCTGTGCACTGCAGGAGGTAAAGGGGGAACTCCCCAGAGAGCTCCAATTCCTCCTCTCTGTCTAAACAAGGAGCTACACCCCAAAGCTTATTTCCCACATCAACCATTTAGATAACAGAGAACTACAATAAATACTCAAATTAAGTGAAAACCAGCAGTAGCAGGACAGGCAGAATTAATCACAATGTATTTTTTAAATCTGTCACAGAAACACTGGAGGTGAATACTGAGGTAAATGTGAAATTACAGGCCTATTATAAAGGGAGGTAATTAACAGTCCACATCTCTGGCCAAAGAAAGCCTCACTGTTTTTTTTGGCCTGCCAAGCTTCTACACTACCTATATTATTTACACTCAGGGGGGGGGGGATGCTGGTTTATGAGGCCTATTCAGGAGCCCTGAGGTGTCACTCCCGGGTTTTCTCCTCGGCCTGGTTCCTGACCATTTCGCACCTCCAGGAGGGACTATTATCCTGTCAGAGGGCCACTCTTCACAGCAGCGTAACGCTTTGCCCCGTGAAAGTCACACCCTTCTGCTTGTTTTGTTGTCCTGTGGAGCCCTGGGTTCACACACAGGACTTTCCGGGAGCTGCAGATGGTCATCGAGATTTAAAATGGATGGAAAAAAAACATGGCCTGAGGAAGAAACATAGGCTGAGTGGTGGTGAAAACAGGAGCTCTGAACTTCAAACTGTGGGCAATGGAGACCCATTAAACTTTCAATCGTATTTGTTATAAGGCAGTTAGAACCAGGAGGCACTTTGACGGGAAGACTTTTTGCTGCCAGGGAATCTAATGCAAACCTTTAAACGTATATTAATATATCTATATAGAAACTAATTCAAGCAGTGTTAACTTAAAGTTACAGTAAAAAACAGGCACATTATTTCATGGTCCAAAGTACTTGGGTTTTGACATTAGAGTTAAAAGAAAAATGTAAAGTGAGAAATCACTGCAACGTGACTTGTTGCATCATTCTTCTTACAGTAACGCCTTGGATAATAAATATTCCAAATCTAATTTAACAAAAACGGTATGGTCAGCACTTGTATACTTCAGAAGTGAAGGTTTTATCACACTAGTTGGGTCTATCCACTAAAACGAATTATTACTCATTGTGAACTTGATCCTAAATACACTGTCATTATTGCCATTGTCTGTGAGGTAACCTTGAGTAACACTTCTGAGAACAGGACTGGTATAACAACAGTCTCAGGTAAGGTGACAGCTGAGGTAACCAGAGGCTCCTTCCTCAAGATGAAGATACGAGTAGTTATGAGGAAGTCAAAATATACTTAAGGAGGATGAAGGTGTGGATGGTAATTTATAGAAATGTACAGTACAAACATTATATCTGAAAATATAAATGTAACAACTCTTTCTAAAGCTTTCTGTAAACATACATTGTACTTTTAAAAGATGTCTTGTTATTTTATTGTGGGTAAACAAAGGTTAGTATTTATTTACTTAAATTCTTTATAAAACTGATTCATTAATCTAGTGGTAATTCTATACAAGTCTGAGTAAGTGTCGGTCTGCCCCCTACTGGGGAAGTAAAGTAAAGCTCCTCAAAAACTGATAACTATCAAACTAAATCTGAACATTAAATAAAGAACAATAATGATTTTGTAATGTTTTAATAAAATGTATTAATTTAATAAAAAATACAGTGTGTAAATGCTTGAAAAATACAGACACTGCGTCATAAGTCAATCAAAATCAAAATGTATAAATAAGTAAAAATGTTAAATTATCAAAGATTATTTTTTTATAACAATGTCAGTTAAAAAGGATTGGCTCTTTAGGTTCAAAATAGTAGCATATTGCTATTTTTCTAAAATTGTTTCAGTAACTACACAACAAAGTACGACATAATCTCACTATGAAACTACAATTGGTGTTTATAACATGGCAGCACTTTGAATTCAATATATAACGTTCACATTCACAAAGGGAAGAAACATGAAAAATACACTTTGCAAAGGAATAAAGGAGAAGAAAAACTAATAATCAAAAAATAATAAAAGCATACTGCATGACAAGAAACATGAAAATGTATGTCACGTGGGTCATCAGCACTTTGAAAGAATCTCCTGACAGCTTTTGTAAACTTTCACCAAGCAGTTCAGCCTTGGCTTTGAACTCTGAAAGACATTTGAAAAGAGGGTTCATTAGAAACACATTACTCTGAATAACACCGTGTGTAATAAAGACGCCATATTATGCTTTATGGAGTTTTCCCTTTCCTTATAGTGTTTTTTATAGGTTTTTGTGCATATATACAGTCAGCATGCCGTTGCATCCTTGGGCAAGACACAGTGTCCACAGTATTGATGTTTTACATGTCTGATACTGTATATGTAATGTGTAATGTAAAGCGCTTTGAGCACTTGTAAAAACACTAAAATATATGCAATGAATTATTATTATGCTTTATGGGATGTTCTCACACCTTGCATTCAAAACCTCACCTGAAACAATGGCACAACACGCGCCACTGCATTAGGCTCTGAAGGGTCCTTCAACAGCACACACAGGTAGTAGATGATTTGATGCTGAAATAAAAGCAATAGACGTCAATTCACCCTTCTTGCCAAAGCATAAACTCACATATCTGTAGGTTGTAAAAATGTCCTCACCATGTAAATAGCTTCATTGATGACAATATCCTTGATTTTGCCCATCTCAATGAACGTGGTGGTCTCACGGCCCGACGCGTAGCTGGAAGACAGCTGGATGCCTAAGGAGCCGATGAAGAGCAGGGTCTCGTGGTCGACCTTCACAAAGTGGATGTGAAGCATCATGCCAACCAGAGTGATGAATATAGCACTGGACAGAACGGCTGTGTTCTGAAAGAGAGGGAAGACATTTCAATGTAACTTGTCAATATGAATCATTACATACCACTCAAAAACATAAAGAAGACTTGTGTACAGATCACAAGGAGCATCACCATTATTATGTCCACAAGGAGTTTCTTGGACTGGCTTAACAAAATCAAAATAAGAACCAGTTGAGAGTTGAATAATACGGACAAAAATCTAATAATGCAAAAAAAGTGTACTAGCCTGAATGTCTTCTAAATATCAATAATGTGGCAATATGACTATTGCAGCTCTTACATAATAAGTAAGCTTGAATGGGGTGTACAGAATGGTAAATAGGGCTTTTACCAATAACCAATTTCATTAGCAATTATTCTGCTAATTACTTTCTAGAATAATTTGCCCTATAATATTTAAGAAAATATTGAAACATTTTCATCCCAGTATCTCAAAGTTCAAACATGTTTCTTTGTCAGTCGAAAACCCAAATAAATGTTATTTAATATTATGTAAAAGAGAGAAAGGCAGTATATTTCAATACTTTAGAGGCTGAAATCAGCTTTTTCTGACACTTTGGCATTGACAAAACATGTTATCACTATGAAAAGATTATCAGAACAATTGTCCACTTTTCCACTGTCCCTGAAGTAATCAATAACTCGACTTATCGATGCAGCTCACATAATATATGGTATAAAAACATGTAAGAAATTGATATTGGTAAGTAAAATAGTAAAGGCTTATTTACTTTAAATTAATATGACCATTATAGCAATAAAAACCATGAAGAAACAGTACATTTTGATAGAGTAAAAAATGTCATACACATCTCTTGTGTAATCGATTTTAAGCAATAAGGCCACAGCGATTCTGCCAGCACGTAGTAACCATAGACTGTACAGTGTACATTTAATTAATGTAACATCTCATTTATCTTACCTCTGTGAAGAAGAACACAGCGTATGCCAAAAGCCAAACACAGCAGGTGTACACCATCACCTTCCCGATGGACACTTTAGGGACGCTGACAACGAACTCCTTGCAGAGGCTGGAGTGATCCTGACAGCTCAGAGAGATGGCTTTGCCACTAATGTCAGTAAAGGTTTCGTCTTCCATCATGAACGCAACACAAACAGAGAGTAGAGAGAGTAGAGAAACAGCGAAACAGGGAGCTAACTGGCTAACACTGACGACAGGATAGCATCGAGCTAGCTTTGGCTAGGAAAGGTCAGACGCATATTAAGACATAAAGTGGTGCTTTCTCAGATAAATAATTGTGCATGCATACATACGACTCAATATCTCTGGAATTAATAGGATGAGAAAAACGTAACGGCAAAAATCACTGAAGTGAATATTTCCAGGACAAGTTCATTTGAGTTGAAGCTAAAAATCAATGCTAACCTTAGATGCACTCGTTTTCGACACCGGGGTGTTCGGTTTGGATGTTGTTGTACAGTAACGAGCATCAAGTACAGAGCGGGCACTATCGCTCTGCGTGTTTGACAGGTTTTGCAACAACCAGGGACATTAAAATAATAAATACACGTTGTATTAAAAAATGAATGCCCGAGCTATTGATATTAACATGATGCCTGTCGTTATCAGTTACTGTCTCCGTATCTGAGTAAGCTCCGGTGTACGCTGGTTACTAATAAAAGCGAACACTACATCAGCTGGAGGGTGCAAAGCATTATGGGCAACGGTTTATATATTGTCCAATAAATCCACATTATTTTTTTAAGTAGAAAGGTAGTTGATGTCAAACTTCCCTAAAATAATATAATATGAGTATAATTGACTGTATGTACTATTACATCGTTTATAAACCGAGTAAAGTATTAATTGTCCGATGTTTTTCTCTGCAACTCCCAAATCCTTCATATCCCAGAATGCATCATGTTTCGTGACTTTTGAACTCTGGATAAAAACAAGCCGATCAGCTGATGTAAAAGCAACAACATCTACAGTGGTCTGACACAGAAGAGCCCTGCAAGCTAACTTTCTTCACAACATTAGCTGTATGTGGCAGTCAGCTGTGTGCGTTAGACAGTATACGTGTCCGGTTTTAGACTGTGTGGAGGCAGCCTTTTAGTTAGCCGTCGTCCGTTGGACTAGTAACCACTGCTAGGTCAGTCGACTGAAACGAAGGTTGTTTGTTTCTTCAGAAAGTGTCTTTCTTTGTGTCGGTTAGTGACAAAATAAAACTATTTATTACTGATTTTCAAAACGTGTTTTTTTAAGACATTATGGCTCACATTGACAGTGCTACTTTAAAATAGCAACTTGGCATAAACAAGTTAGCTGCAGCATTACCAAAACAAGACAGGGGATGCAGGGCAGCTAATGTTAGCTAGCAAACTGTTGTGCCAAAACATAAAGTCATTCACTTGTCTGAACAAGGGCGTTTAAATGTATAACTCTTCCCGTTAACTACTGACTGAATATCCTTATTGGTAAGCAGTAATAAGCTTAACATTTCACTACTTTTTGACAGTATTGTACTTAAGTTTTTGTTTAAATTGCTCTTTACAGAGTTTGAACAAAGATTGCATCAATTCACTTCAGCTCCTTAACTGAACCGACACGTTGCGTTTCTTCCGCTTGCTTTTAGTAACCGAGGGGTATCCACTGACCTGTCATTTCTTTTGACATGAGTGGTCAAGGTCCAGCTGTAGATAAAGGGATGACCACATTGCTAGGCTGTCAGGAGAGCTACGCCTGCGGGGGTTCAGACGAGGCTGCGTTTGAGTGCGATGAATGCGGCAGCCTGCAGTGTGCCCGCTGCGAGCTGGAGCTCCATCGCCAGGAGAGGATGAGGAACCACGACCGGGTTCGGATCGCACCCGGCCACGTCCCGTTCTGTGACTCCTGCAAGGGGGACAGCAGCTGCCCCGTGAACGGTGGACGGCTCAGGGCGGTGGTGCGCTGCCAGGGCTGCAAGACCAACCTGTGTTTGGACTGCCAGAAACGCACCCACAGTGGGGTCAACAAGAGGAAGCACCCTCTGACTCCCTACCCTCCTGCAATAGCTCCCCAGGACAACTGCCTGGCTGCAGGGGAGTCACACATGGAGATACTGAAGGCCGAGCTGGAGAAGGTGTCCAGCTTCATCTTGGTGGACGAGAGGGAGGAGATGCAGGTAAATACTTTTAAGCAAATAGTTTGACATCTCCAGATTATTATTATTGTTTTGACAATGAGGCTGATCTTTTGTGGATTCTCAGGTGAAGGATGTGGAAGACTTTGTGAGCAGACTGCATTGCAAGTCAGATGAGCTCCTGAAGGTGGTCTCCATCTTCGGAAACACTGGGGAGGGCAAGTCTCACACCCTGAACCATACTTTCTTCCTTGGACGAGAAGTCTTCAAGACCTCTCCCACCCAGGAGTCCTGCACCGTGGGGGTGTGGGCCGCTATGGACCCTGTGCACCGGGTGGTAGTCATTGACACAGAGGGACTGCTTGGAGCTGGTATGGGACCAACAATGGGAGAGCTTAAACGGACAGTTCACCCAACATTCAAAAGTGCATATTTTCTCTCCTACCTATAGTGCTATTTACATTACATTACATTGCATTTAGCTGACGCTTTTATCCAAAGCGACTTACAATAAGTGCAGCGACTTACAATAAGTGATTGTTTTGGTGTGAGGTACACATTTTTTGAGAGAGGCCTGCCAATGGATCTAGATGACACTTGGCTTTTGGTGTTCAAAGCACCCAAAGAAATTCAATTGTAATTAATAAAACCTCAACAGCAATATCTCATTACAAAAATCATGAACTGGTTACTCAAGCTGATCTAAGGACTTTGTTTTTGGGCAGTTAATGTAGGAACTTCTTTATTTTTACCAAACTAAACAATTATACATTTGCAAGGCGGCTCAGCACTAACATTTGTAAAACCTTTAGCGAACTGAAGAAAGGCTATCCCCATTCACTTTAATTAGCGCAGGTTTCTAGCAAGAACTAATCTCCAACACTCAGCAACGCACACCAAAACAATCTAGGTTGATACAAATAGTATAAGAAAAAAAAGAGTTTTCATTTTTATTTTGGGTTGAACTGTCCGTTTAATACCATGTAATAAACATCAGTACTGGGAGGCATGTTTTTCCTCAATTGACACACATTAACACTATTATATTTTGCTCTCATCAGGAGCAAATCAGGGTCAGCGAACGCGCCTGCTCCTTAAAGTCCTGGCCATCTGTGATGTGGTCATCTACCGAACCCATGCAGACCGTCTCCATGACGATCTCTTCAAGTTCCTCGGCGATGCATCAGATGCTTACCTGAAACACTTCACCAAAGAGCTGAAAGCGACCACCACCCGCTGTGGTCTAGACGTCCCCTTGTCCACTCTGGGCCCTGCTGTGATCATCTTTCATGAGACTGTCCACACCAAGCTACTAGGATCAGGTACATGTCACCCTCTTAATTCTCTAAACTTAACTTAAATGTACTGAAATGAAAAAGATTGTCAAAAGAATCATATGTTCTCTCACCTTCACTTTCTGTTTTGCTCTTCATCTCCAGACAAACCCTCAGAATCGGTGGAGCGTCTTCTCCAGGAGCGTTTCAGGAAGCTGGGTCTGTTTCCAGAAGCGTTCAGCTCCATCCAGTACCGTGGGACTCGCACCTACAACCCTCCCACAGACTTTAGCGGTTTGCTTCTTAGCCTTGAGCAGCAGCTGGACAACAACACCACCCGCTCACCACGCTCCGCCAGCGTCATCTACAAGGCCCTGCAGGTAAAGACCCTTGATTGTCCTCAGAAACTACTAGTGTTATGTATTTACGAATTTTTAAATGTCAATATTGACAGCCAGCTTTATTGACTCTTTCTGTCTCTTTATTTCCTTCTTTCAGGCCCTGAGCGAGCGCTTTAGCGGGGAGATAGCCGATGAACACATGGCCAGTAACTCGTTCTTTCCGGATGAGTACTTCACCTGCTCCAGCCTCTGCCTCAGCTGTTGGTACGTGTCTCTCTAAATGCTGCCACCTTTGCATTTCATTAACGTAGTATACGTTTTTAGACCTTTTTATTTCGCCCTGGTTCTCATACAGACCTCCATAGTTTCATTCAATGAGTCACAATGAAATTAAGCTTTGATCGAAGGACAAAAAGTTAAAGTCGGCCAAATCTATTTGTTGTGACAATGTAAAACACTTTGTATTAGCATTTAATTTTCCTCTGGTGCATCTATAAATAACAACAGTGTAAATAATTTAAGTATTTTAAAAGTTTTTATGAATAATGTTTTTTAAAAGACACCGTCAAAGAATCAACATCAAAGGGGAACACCGCCGTTTCCAGTACATTCCGATATGCTATTTGAATGGCCTAGGAAAGCTGTATTTTAAATTTTGTAACCAACATTTTTTTGAATGACACATTCCCCTGAGTGCTCTCATAGTCATCTATGACACATTTCCCAAATCATTGTGTATGGAGCAGTTCCAGACTTAAACTTGGTGCACATCACTGCACTCTGGTTTTTGGATTTGGAAGAGTAATTCTTCTTTATATTTGTTGCCTGTCGAGGACGATATAAATAAAATGTATGAATTTAGGAAATGGTTGTCAAAATATCCCCTTTACAATGTGGCCTTTTGTCCCTTAACTCTCAGTTCAGGCTGTAAGAGAAGCATGAATCATCTCAAGGAAGGACTTGACCACGAAGCCAAACAACGCTGCCGCTACTCTGCACAGTATGACAACCGCATCTACACCTGCAAGGCAAGTACAAGCCCCAATGCCACGCCTGTACATGTTGAAGTTTACCTGCGTGGTTAGATTCTCAATGTCTCTTCTAAAACTTCTCAGGCCTGCTATGAAGGAGGGAAGGAGGTCATAGTGGTTCCCAAAACGACAGCCTCGTCTGACTCACCGTGGTTTGGCTTGGCCATCTATGCCTGGTCTGGGTGAGTCCGGCTACCACAGAACCATGAGGAAGACGATCGGAAATGTCTGCCTGGCACTGTGATCAACCCACTTGAACTATAGAAGAGGGAAAAATCCAGAAAAAAAGGCTTTACTTTATGAGCTTCTCCTACCCAAACAGTGCACAACCATGCTTTTGAATTAGCTTATGTCTAGTTTTTTTAATGGATGGTTGTATAAATGTTTATGGTAAAATTAGGTTTTGGTTGATGTCTGAATCCTCCCTTAAACTGGATCCAAAACAAACAAAATCCACGCCTTTATCCATCTTGGTAATGTATGCTTAAACACACAGATATAATAGGCAAAAGTGGAATAGATCCAAAATGTATGTATATTTATTTCTGTCATTATTAAAGTAAGGAGACCAATCACCAACTAATGTAATTTATATGCACTAAAGGCTGTTATATTATCATAAAGGTAGTTTATTTGACTTATGACTTCACCCTCTGCTGTCAACAGCCTCTAACAGATCACTAATGCAGGCAAACTGACACCCACAATGGGACCCTATGGTTCTTACTCTGCCATAAAACCAAGAACAATAGGCAACACAATCTGTCCCCTATAAACTGAAATGTCTTTGTCTTGGACCAGGTATGTTATCGAGTGCCCCAACTGTGCAGTGATCTACAGAAGCAGGCAGTACTGGTACGGGAACCAGGACCCAGTGGAAACAGTGGTCAGAACAGAGATCCAGCACATCTGGCCCGGGGTAAGGCTACAGTGGGTTTTATGTTGATGCCCAGGAAACTATTACCCAATGTGGTTTATGAACTTTTTTATATTTAACTGACGATGTACACAACAAATGTCAAATTAAGATTCTCCAACAATAGTTTTAAAGTATGATCAGAAGCTAGTGTATTCCTTTGTATCTTACTCAACCTTTTTTTCTCCTCTTGCCTTTTCTCAGTCTGACGGTTTTCTGAAAGACAACAACAACGCCGCCCAGAGGTTGCTGGATGGAGTCAAATACATTTCTCAGTCAGTGTCGGAACTCAGCGTGAAGCCGGCCAAAGCCGTCACCTCCTGGCTCACCGACCAGATCGCTCCCACCTACTGGACTCCAAACTCCCTCATCACGGTGCGCAACTTAATCTCTCAATTCCCAATGAATTACGGCTGTTAAAACTGCACATAGTTTTCCTATAGAGACAGGAACATAATCTTATCCTCTATGGCAGGGGTGTCCAAACTACAGCCCAGGGGGCCAAATGCGGCCCGCGGACCATTTTGAATCGGCCCTCAGCTAATTAAAAAAGTATAATGGAATATGGCCCACAAATTAAACTTGTGCTCGTATTATATTGTACTTCTTAAATATGAATGTAAAAATATATTACACAGTACTATTCATGTGTTAATAAGACCACTTTTCAAATAAATTCAGTCAAATAAAGTTGGAAACATTTTCTAACATATCTTATATTAAAAAAAAAAGCCCAATGACTTATTAACATAACTAGCTTGAAATACACCCTTTCCTATTTCTCCTTATTATAATCAATCTGAGGCTTCTGTTTGAAGGGATGAGCTGCCAACACTCACGAGCATCATTTACCTACATTTGATTGATTTTGCTAACTTATAACTGAACTTATGAGGCAATATACCTCTAGTGAGTGGCCCAGCCCTTCGTATATTTTTCTGCATGTGGCCCTCGGTGAAAACATTTTGGACACCCCTGCTCTATGGGCTTACTGTTTATCTGCAGTATAACTGGCTGTATACACATATGTTATCTTCGCTGTTTGTGTTGCAGAAATGCACTAAATGTGGGGAAGAGTTCCAGGCCAACGACACAAAGCACCACTGTCGTGCCTGCGGAGAGGGCTTCTGTGACTCCTGCTCCTCAAAAACCCGCCCGGTCCCAGAGAGAGGCTGGGGGCTCACGCCTGTCCGAGTCTGCGACGCGTGTTTCCACAACAGAGAAATCTCCACTGGTAAATCCCTCTTAATATAGGACTTAATGTCTACGCACCATTTAAAAAATCATATGTTATTACTATTCTGTTTTAGCTAGTTTGTGTATTTATTCTTCTGACTTTTGAATCGCTTTTATGACTTTGAAAGTTATACTACGTTTAAAGGTCCCATGTCATGGCCATTTCTACTGATCATAATTCCATTGTTGAGGTCTACTAGAATAGATTTTTATTGTGCAATTATCCAAACTCACATTGGTTTCTCAAACAGCATCTCTGTATAGTATGTGTATTCACTCTCTGTCCTAAACGGCTTGTTGGAGCTCCTGCCCCCCCCCCCTCCCTCCCTGTGAGCCCACTGTGCTCTGATTGGTCAGCTCGCCCACTCTGTTCTGATGAGTCTACCACTATGGTCTACCACCGTTACAGCGGGACATCAGTGATTATGTGTTACAATGGCGTTAGCAACCAGGAAATGACACCAGTAATGACAAACAGATGAGAATGCTGCGTGGGGTCTGGGTGCCGTGTTGGCGGGACGTTGCGAGGAGCGGACAGTGTGAGCTGGGTTCATTTCCTGCGTGGGGTCTGTGAGACAGCGATGGGGCTGCAGCACCCCCATCTGCGAGGCTCCACTAGCACCCGCAACCCCCCCAGCGCGTCACAGTTTTGCCGCTGAGAGAGTGTGTGTGTGTGAGGAGCTCCACGGATTGGTCCATTTGGGTATGAGCACGTCACCGTACCCAGGAAGAAAACAATGGAAAAAGAGAAATGTCCAACGAGGCGTTCTGGGGCAGCATAGACAGGTCTTTTCTGTGTTAGAGTTTTACTCTCTACAGGGTGTACTTTGAGGGTTTGTGACTTTGCAGACCGTTTACATGCAGAAAGTCCTTCATAACTCACAAGGGGACGGGTAATAACCGGAAAAGCATGACATGGGACCTTTAAATGCTTGTATTATTTTCGGTTTAAAGCACCTTGAAATGACAGAATGATTGAAATGTGCTATACAATTAAAATGGTCTTGCCTTGCTTTTGGTCTGAGACAGTCCAAAGCTCTTAGCTACAAAGACAACTTTCCCTATTCCAAAAAATGTAGTCCTTAAAATCAAGATTGAGAAAGCAGCTCATATTTCCATATATTGGTATTGAACTGTCTAGGTCACGGAAATAATATTGTGTTACCTTAATTATAATTAAGTTATGTTGCTCTTTAAAACATTATGTGAGTGCCTGAATTTCTGTGCACATCTTTGCTTGTTGCAGAGTTACTGGACGCTGCCCTGGAGGAGGAGGGAGGCACCCTGATAGCGAGGAAGGTGGGGGAGGCGGTGCAGAACACTTTAGGAGCTGTAGTGGGGGCCATCGACATCCCTCTGGGTGAGCATTACATCGGTCGATTATCAAAACCAATCTGTGGTGGGAGGGGAATCGACCCACTATAAGTAGAAATACTTTTGTCTTAAAATACCTATATTAGAACAAAAATACTTAAGTAGAAGTGCAGAAGTATTTTGAGCTAAATGTACTTAAACTATCAGAAGTACTCATGCACAATTTCTCTTTCCAAAGTATTTTATTGATATAACTTATTATACTACAGTTGTTAAGGCTTACAAATACATCTAAGAGCATTGTAATGGTATAGTTCGTCAATGTTGAGCCAATGTATTTATGTTATTTGTAATAAATCAAGTAAAACAAAATATAATGGAGTAAAAAGCACAATATTTCCCTCAAAATTGCAATGGAGAAGAATCATAAAGTAGCATTAAATAGACATATTCAGGTAAAGTATAAGTATGACAAAACACTTTTGAAAAATACAGTGGTTGATTAAATGCACTTAGTTATTTTCCACCACTTTACAATATGCGCATTATTTTCTTTACAATGTGCACGTTTTAAATGTAACGTCTCTGTGTTGATGCTAATATTTTCTCAAATGGAACAACTGTTAGAAGATCCAATTTCCTCTGGCGATAAATAGAGTATTCTTACAGCTTTAACTGAAGCACTCTACCCGGCTGTTGTTAGAATAACCCCCCCCCCCTCCCCTCTCTCTCCTGTGCGTCCAGGCCTGGTGAAGGACGCCGCCCGGCCGGCCTACTGGGTCCCAGATCAGGACATCCACTCCTGCAGCGAGTGCCAGAAGGAGTTCTCCCCGCGCCTCTCCATTCACCACTGCCGCTCCTGTGGACAGGGCGTGTGCGGCGACTGCTCTCAGGAGCGCCGCCCCGTGCCCTCCCGCGGCTGGGACCACCCGGTGAGGGTCTGCACCGGCTGCAACCAAAAACCAGGGGAGCTCTAGCAGGACGAGGAGGAGGAGGCTGTTTGAGGACGCCTGTCAGAAAACTGGAAATTGGCTAAAAGGCTTCAGTTCCGTTTTTGTCTCTTTTAGCGGCATTTCTTGGCTGCCAATAGACTGTCTGTGGCAGGTTTTTAAAACGATTCGTCAGTCCCTTAATGTTCTTTCACTTAAATATGCCTATATTTTACACTGTGAAGAATGTCAGACAGAGTAAGACTTGAATATCAAGAAGGGAGGAGAGATAAAACTGCTTGCTAGCGTTTTATGAAAGTGAGTTTTAAGTGTTAATGCTTACAATTGAGTGCGGTAAATATCCATGTACCCCTAATCCTTTTCAAATGTGTACTGATGTACAACCCCTATGACAATCCCTCCCAGTGTGACCCACTAGTACTATTATAATTAGTCTGGGGCTACATGTGTGAACTGTTAGATAATAGATGCGTCTTAAACTGATCCCAGGTAAGCACTTTTATCCTGAGAATGTTTCCGCTGGAGCCCGTGGATATAGCACTTCAGAGAAACCCTGAAAGAATGATCCACCAAAATGAATTATGGTCCTTTTTAAATGGAGTAGTTTCCCTCCTCTTCTTCAAGAGGATTAGAACAATCAGAAGCCAATAATGTACTGTAGCATCGAGATGCATTCCTACTTATAGAATTACTTAACTTCTTATATAATAAGATTTGAATGGGCAGATCAGAACAGCCTTAATAACGCTGTCCACATTGTTTAAATGTAACATAGAATATACATATAAGGGGAAAAAGTTTACTCTAATAGGGATATTTTTTTGAAAGGCTTGTGTTGTTTTTATGTTGAAGTACTATTTGCTTACAATACACATCTGATGAACTGCAACAGGAACTGATTTTATAGAGTGGCTGGCTCACAGTAGCAATATGGAACAGAACAAAAATAACTTGAAAACATCTTTGAGGCTGGCCCCTCAAAACAAGGAAAATATTTAGAGTGTTTACTCTGTCTAATCAGGCTGTGTAGCTAGGAGCAACGTTTGAGACTGTACTGTACAATTATCTGACAAAGACATCATGAGGATGCAGCTAGGGCTTCCGACTGAACACTAAGGGGTTGTGAGGACTGGATTTTATTTTTTAAGTGACTGATTGGGAGAGTTGGCTACCAATTCCACAAATAAGCTGAATTAATAGGAATCGTATTACTGTCCCTGTCTCAGAGAAAGATGTTCAATGAATACAAAATATCAAAAGGAACAAATCAATACCTTTATGCACATGTATGCTCATACAGTATGTAATAAACTGCAGAAACTCAGTCTCTCTGTGTCATTTAGGAGCAAATACAAAGCATTAGATATCAATAATTTCTTTAGAACAAGACATGGTGTCGATTTACATTATGAGCGCAGCACCATCCTTTTCAAATCAGATAAAAAAAATCCTAAATAACATATAAAAAAATCATCCAATTCTTAAGTAAGGGCACTTTTTCTTGTAAATGTTACAGATTTCTTAACTTCGGTAATAGCCATGTATGCCACATGTCTATTACAATAACATAATAAAAACCACCCATCGAGACTTGATTGTAACCCCCTATATGGAAGCAAACCTGTGTAAATGAACTGCATACTGGCCAAACCTTGTCTTTATAAAATACCTAAATATTTTGTATATGAATAAAACTCCTTCCATACATTTGGCAAGTCCTTGTTTTGAGAAGATTCGTCAGTTTTCAGTCTTTTCATACGGAGCCGGCTGGCTGCTCTTCTCCTTCCTGGTAGTCGGTGTTGTACGGGAAGTAGTAAAGGTCGTGTTTGACGGCCATGAGCAGGCCGGGGAGCCCCCTGCAGCCGCCCAGCTTGGAGGAGAAGACCACGCTGGGGATCATGTCGTTTGCGGCCGGGTGGGGCGATGGGATAGTCCTCAATAGGTGGCCATCTTTGAGGCTCCATAACCTGGTGTAGCAATCCTGACCGACTGGGGAAGGAACAGAGGAGGAAAATCGTTTTTTCTCTTTCCAATCTGGTCGGAAAGCAACATTAATCTGCAACTGGCTCAAGAGCATGTTGACTTGCACTAAGTACAGTATGTCAGCGCATAGTAGGGCTGTGCGATTACGGCAAAAATCATAATCACGATTATTTCTGGTCAATATTGATATCACGATTATTAAATACGATTATTCATTGACTTTGAAAACATCAATTTATTGAACTTTAAAACAAATTAAAATAATAATTTGAACAGTATGTTTTTAACAGTTGATTACCCTGAACTTTAAGTATAATTCAACTGAAAAAACAATAATAAATAAATTATACATTTATATCTACATTTAAATAAATAATATCAAAATAATAAATACCAATAAAGAAGATAAACAAATATTTTGGAGCGCACTACCACAACCTACTAAACATATATACAGTGCTTGAATTGGGCTGGTACTCACTGGTACGCAGTACTGGGACTTCAGATTTTTACCCATCTGGTACCGTTACTTCTTACTGAGTACCGGCACGATGCCGGTACGGCGGTACTCAGTAGATGCGGTGGCACCTCATGACGAGGTGCCGGCGGCTTTGCCCGCCTCGCCCCCGGAGCAGCCGTCTTCGTCGCCCCAAACACCGCCACCCCTCGGCGGCCCGCAAGTGCCAGAGGACCTCGGCAAAACAGAGCCTGCCCAGGTATATTTAAACAAGTTCCCAACTCGCCTGTACAGTGGGGTAAGGCGCTCATTTTGCAGCTCATGGTTTAAAAACAGAGATTGGCTGGAATTTCCTGTAAAAAAGATGCCATCTTCTGCTACAGTATGCATGTAGACATTTCGGTTCAAATACATCCAACTCAGATGCCTTCACCACAATTGTACCAGAGTACCAAACGCTGTCTCCTGGTACTCATCTGAGTAACTCACTAAAAATGAAATACTATATGACAGTAAAACAAGAATAGAGTTTAAAAGGGGAGTGATTTTTAAAATATCCATAAAGAAAAAGTAAATCTGTTTACAGTTCTGTTTCATATGGATGTTGAGATGTATCCATAGATCTCTTCATTTTGCTCTCAAAGTGCATCAGATTGATGCATTTAACTTCAATATTTAAAAAAAAATCTTCCCCCCTAGAGGGTGTTAAGTCCACTCCCCACTTATAAAAATAGCACTTTACCACTGCATCCCCCTCTAATCTCAGATGCACCCTGAGTCATTTTGTTCTGGAACCGGGCCTGGACCAGGTGGAATATTTTTGCAAGACCAATGAATGGCTCGTTGTTAAAGACAAAAAGCTGGGATGTCGGATATGTAAAGAGGTCAAACCTTTGGGAAAACACACTGGACAAGGACTGAAACTCTCGATTGAATGGGGTGAGTGTGCAGTGTCTCATTTCGGTAGTGACAAGTGCAAACAACAAGCTAGCCTGAGAAAAAAAATCAAAGAACACAAAGAATCACAAGCCCATGTACATACTTAAATCTGCTTCACGTGAAGCAATTCAAAAGCAAGCTGCGGAAAGATGCGTGAGTGTACTCAGGGACGAGGAGCCATTTAACCAGCCGCCAGTAGGAGTCAGGCTTTAGCCATATCCGCTGCCTTTCATACTTTTTTTAAGCACAGTGAGCCTTTCTAAAATATACAGTAAAGAGACAAACCCACCAGCATTATAGGATATACTATATGACTTTGAGCCAAATTCTTGTTTTTGGGCTGTATAAATAAAATTGCCTTGAAACAGTTGCTGATTTAGAGTACTGGCACCTTTTTTATTCCAATTCAAGCACTGCATATATAAATATGATAACTAATGTCACTCACAACCTGTAATGTTTAATTATACTGCTACACGCAGTGCTCTTATTTTGGTAACCCCTTATCAGGAAACCGGAAGTAGCTAAGAGGCTCCGGTTTGACGAGGTCAGTGAAAATTGACTGAACGCTAGAGACCGGAGAATAAAGACACGGCAACTAAAGCTTCCCTTGTAACGTGTTTATATGGATTTATTAAACAGACTGCAAGTCACAACACAACCTGGCTGAGAGGGCTTTTAGGGAGGGGTGGACTCGCACGCGCGGGGAGGATGTATAACGCAATACAAATTGAGAGCATCATTGCGAAAGGGAATGCAGCAAAATAATCTGTTTTTTTTTTATTACGTTGTTTTCATAATCGTTGCAAGCCAAAATCGTAATCCAGATTAAAATACGATTAATTGCACAGCCCTAGCGCATAGTGGTGTAACCTGGTAGGTAAGTAGTTAACTGGCATAAATTAAGTGAACATTTTCAAAGCCACAGTATGTTGATGTGAGCATGTTGTGTTGTGTTGTCTCCTACCTGCCAATAAGAGTCCCTCTGGCTCGTTGACATGAATGGGAAGGTAGGCGTGCTCATTGTAGTGCCCTTTGTACTCCTGCACAGGCTTTGTCGCACGCACATCCCACAGTTTAATCTGCACAGAATTCAAGAAAAACACAATGTTAGCAATATTAGCATTCATGTGGGTTGACATTTTTTTAAGAAGGGATGCTTAATGGATTTTTTTTTTGTCACCAACTAAATACACGCTTTTCATAAAGGATATGGTACGGTAACCATTATTTTCAATATTTATTTTATTTTCAAACTAAGTTCATAACCTGTAGTTTATGCACACCTGATATGGCTCACTTCATTGCTTTTTTTTCTAGTCAATCAAACTAGAACATCAATTGCACATTGCAGTCGTAATGTCTTCTTCTGAAGATTTTTTTGGCTTCAACGGCAGGTAATTTATCGGGTATGATTTCATTATCGAATAATATATAACATACATTTCTCATTATTAGCTGTGTGCATTCCTTTTTTTTTTTTAAATGATCCGTTATCTTTTTCCACTTGTGTCATTAGCCTCATCTCAGGACCTAAACATCATCAACATACTAGCTGTTTACAACTTAATGTCGTACCAACGATCAGAACCCAAAATCTATTCGTAAAGCCAATAGCCTGACCTGGCCCAGCATGTCAGCAGCGAGCAGGTAGTTCTCATCCTGCAGGACGCGTACGGAGGTGATGGCTGACTCCTGATGGAAGCGGCTGGCCTTCCAGCTCTGATCCCTGCGGCCGCGCTGCCGCAGGTCGATGCTGAAGATCTCTCCTGACCGGCAACCGTTAAACAGCACTGGGTCCTGGGGGGAAAAGGAGGTGTTTCACATTAGGCGCTTTCACACCTGAGTACTTTTGCCCGTACTTTTCCCGTTTAGTTCCGATAGTTCGTGGGATTTTGCGTTCACACCAAAAAGAGAACTTAGTTCATGAGAACTTTTACCCCCTTTTTAGTGCCTGCTAGAGAGGTGGTACTTTCCTGGGGAGAAAAAAGTTCCAATTTCTGATTGGCTGGGCGAATTTTAAACCACGCTCCGTAAAACTCTGAAAAGTTTTGTGCAGCCTCCATTATATTTGCTGGCATTAGCATTATTAGCATTAGCCCCGCGCACCAACGGAGAGAGAATAACTTATGGCAACACAAAAAAAAACATGGGAGCGGTGGAGTGATGAGGAGGTGTCGGCGTTCTGGCAATTTACTCGGAAGGCTTCGGTATAAGCTGCTGGGAGTCAATCAATCAATCAATCAATGTTTATTTATATAGCCCAATATCACAAATGTTACATTTGTCTCAGTGGACTTCACAGCAGCTTCTACTGAAGCCAGTCCCCAACTCCGGGGACTTCCGGCCGCCGTGAAGTTGTTTGCGGCCTGCCAGTAAACCCAAAGCAGAAGAAGAAGAAGGGACGTCAGCGGCTTCATTTGCGTAATCTTCCCTCAGGGAACTTATTCCGGTGTGAACGCGATCTGCTCTTTAGTTCCATGGGGGTACTAAGTGCTGGGAACTAAGTACGGCAAAGTACTTGGTGTGAAAGCGGCTAAGGGTCCATTATTTTCTCTCTTACAGTGTCCTTTGTCACAAGCCAAACTATAGCATGTTACCAGTCATTTCATCACTTGAATGTATCAGATGACTCACCCTAAGGGCAAACTGCTGAGCCAGCACATCGCTACCGGTGCTGTACGTCTGCGTTCGTCCCGTCTCGGCATCTTTCACAATTACCCTTCGAGACAGGCCTGCCATCACATGCAAGAACACATCATTTTTTTAGATTAATACGATTGTGAAAAGGAAAAGTATGCCTAATCAGATAACACAACATTTTCTGGCAACATATGCTCTCTCACATAGGCAACAATCTCTCTCGATGACTCTGTATTCCAAAGCAATCATGTGTTGCTGTACATTTATTCCATCCAAACATATAGAGCATTATTTAATAGATT